TGCGTTCGCTCAAACTGATTTGCTGAAATCTAAACAGGGACGATAATAGGTGAGCACCAGCCAATGAGATTGTCGTTTGCACATTAGTTCCGCCCACTACCGGAAAACCCGCCATTTCTTAAAAGCTGAAGAATTCCAAAGGAACTCCGTTATTTTGACAGGAAAATACAACAAGGAATATCGTTTACATGTATCACATCAATTCTGCATGTTATGTAAGACTCTCTCGCTCTCTCTCTCTCACTTTGCGCGTGTGCGAGTCAGCGAGTCGTGTGCCTTCACACTAGAGTTTATGTTACGCCAAATACACAAACACAGGTGCGCTGCGCATCCATTGAGATTAAATGATAAATAGCACAGATCGCTTGACGGAGAGTGAAACTCTGAAGCGCTCAGTCAGGCGAGTGAAAATATATCTGTGCTAAACTTATACTCAGCCTCCAACTCACACACTGGTGAGTAAAATCTGAGAATTTATTAGCCATTGGCTAATATTAGACATCATTTAGTCGCCCAGAGTGAAGATTTAGTCGCATATGCGAGTGATTTACTCGCAATGTAGAGGGTTATATAATCAGTCATATTAAGTAATAATAAGTACATTTATTTAGATTAACCACATAAGAGAATCTCTATTAGCACTGTTAGCTTTTCTGACATTTTTACAGTGTGCGTTTGCGCTTTTGACAATATTTTTAGTGTGGCCGCAGGAAGGCAGTAGTCAATCTCTGCATCTCTCTTGTGGCCCGTTATTGTCCCCTCTGAGCTGGACGTGTGAACTGCAGCACAAAATGTGGGCTGCTGGATCAGCATGCATGCTACATAAAGACAGCTTTTGTTATAGCCTGTATGCTCATGACCGCTGGCATCTATAGCCCCTCACCCTCAACCACACCAGACTCTACCGGGCTGAGTGGAGAAACCCCTATGGAGGGAATGGATAGTGACTTTCAGTCTTAGAAGCTCACACCCATAAAACTTTATAGCAAAATGAATAAATAAACTTTAAAAGATGTGTATTTTCCTTCTGAGGACAATACAATCTTATCTTATTCCATTACAGATCAAATTTAAGTGAATTTGTCTCATTAGAGATTCATTATATAAGGATAACACAATTCTTAGCTATAGATCAGATAATGTTCCAGTGCAGTGTAACTCACTCTGTTCGCCATTTGCGATGTAATTGAAAATTCCACACAGCCCTTTAATGCTGTCGGTAGATGACGAGCAGAGCGCGTGGCACTTGAGCGTGCGTGTCTGTCGGGCCTCAGTCAACACGGGCCTTGGAACTAGAGCGATGACGGCAGACGTTGCCTTGCAGCCACCGGGCCGATATTGCACCATGTTCACCTCAGCCTATTAAAGGTTGGGATTCCCATCGGGAGAACACTCACGAGCAGACAATTAATGGAACAAAAAATAAGAAGAAAAACCATGACAAGATAATACGTTTGCGATAATGAGCCTCCACTGACCTATAATCATCCTTTTAAAATGAATTTTAACCAGGATAACGTCCTTGAACACCAGCAATGACGAGTGCCACATTCCGTGTGGTTCTTCTAAAAATTGGATGTTATTATAGACTTGTGTTGATGACCTAGGCAAAGATTGTCATTCCCAGGAGAGCAAGCTGACCTCTAGGCCATCGTTTCATGGTCCTTCAGGAATGATTGAGAAATTCTAGATGACGCAGTACTAAGGGATTTTGTTATGCTGTATTAATTAAAACTAAAATGTATGTAACTACGACCATCTACAAATGCAAATCTGGCTCAGATGATGTGTTTATGCTCTAAATTTTAACAACTGCATAGTGACTAAATTTAGTCTGAAGCTGAGCTCAATTAAAAAGGGGAATTACACTGGAAAGTTTATTTCATGGTCTTGCCATTATTAAAACCATGCTTCACTTATCTGTTTATTTAATATAGAGAGTAAATCAGCAGTAAAAAAAACATTTATGTAAAGAATTTCATCATCCAGAGGGTGTGATGATATCATCCGTAACATCCCTTCCTCCGGTCGTTGACGGTTGCGGGGTAAGAGGGTTGACTGGGTGTAGAAGGCTCAGCTGGGGCAAATCCTGGAGGTCTTGTCCCCTTGGAGGCAAAGTGACGTGGCACATGCAAAAGCAGTCTGTGCTGGCTTTTAAGAGCCAGAACTGTCCCCATTCCCCTCATACACACACAGCTCTCCAGCACTCAGGAAAATAAAGAAGGACTGGTGTATTAAAATGTATTATTAGAAGCAAACCAGAATGGACAGGCTGTTTGGAGTGGAGATGAGAGTTAACATGCATCAAAGGTTATTTAGGGGGGAGTAAACTGCACTGAATGATGCCTGCTCTGCATGTTGGGGAAATATTTGGATATTTGAGCATGCAGTTTAAAGATTGAAGGTTTGTTGTGTGTAGCTTCAAACAGCTTTTCCTCTCTTAAAATGTTTGAATGCATTAGAAGTCATTTATAATTTAATATAATCTCACATTTTGGTATACCCGTGGGCTGGAGTTCATTTGTGGTTAAATATTTGCTAGTCATTTGTTAGAATAATGACTTTTTTGGTTAATGCCCTTTCCCCTACAGCTTAAAGTGATATATTTGGTTCTGTGAGCTGCGTATGTCTTCTCAAAAATAGTGCACCTGTTAATTTTCAATTGTGCTTTTTGACTTGTGTTTTTATTTTGAAATGGTCTGATAGCTTTTGGTAGTTTCAGAGTTAATCAAAGTGCCACCGAATCCTGCTCCTCTCTCCAAACACAAAGTGCTCAGCAGAAAGTTCTGGAGATTGTAGCATGCGGCAGTTAGCGGCCATGCGAGTGAGCTCTTGTGAAGTGGACACGGAGAAAGTCTGTCCTGTCGATCCTTTTTTTTTTTTTGTCCCTTTTTCTTCACACGACTGAATTTTTTAAGGTGAGTTACTTTTAGAGTAAAGTAGCTTTTAAAAACTTTCATTGTATTTCCAGCAGTCAGATACAGATAAAATCACAAGTGAAGTCAAATAACTCTTGTTAAATTCATTTCTTTTTAACCGTTCAATTGAGACCTCCATGATCAACTCGTTCCTAATTAATGTTACTGTAGTACTGCTTGACTTTGTTGCAGAATAGTACAAAAATGCACAGTAAAAAAAAAGAGAAAATAAACACATAACAGCACTTAAGTGTGATTATCTAAAAAAATTCCTTATTTCTTAAAAACTGCCAAGCTCAGTAGTTTAGTAACTGTATTGTGTAAGTGTAAATCTCAAAAATCCCTACAGATGTTACTGCACTGATTTAAAAATAAAAAAATGAAAGTATGTATTGTGACTTTCAGATATGTATTAACAGATTTTATAACCATCATTAGAATAAAGTTTATTTTTAATATTGCAATGTCATTTAATGAAAAAATTAACACCTAATAAAATTAATATATAAAAATAGCATGTAAGGAAATTTTAAGAAAAAAAGAGCATTTCAATAGAATTATTGTTGTATTATTCCTGTTTAAACCAGAATTCCACAACCTGATTACACAGTGATTTAAAAATAAAATATGCATCGCTGAAATGTCTCTTGTTTTTAGCAAATAAGAGACAGAAGAGCCATTCAGTCATATCTTTCACTGTATTAATCCCATTTTTCATTCAGAGTATCCATTGTTTGAATTCAGAAGTGTGTTAGGAATATTTAAATTTTAAAGACTTAGTGCTTCTGCCTTTTTTTTTTAAATGGTGAATTAATATAATTGCTAATAGGAACAAACTTCTGGCTTTGTTGAATCTCCACTGCCGGTAAAAGAAAAAGGAGGACAAATCATGTTCAGGTGGTTTGTTAAACTTTTTAAATGAGAACATAAATTGTATAATCTTTCTATCATTCTGTCTGAAGGTGAAAAGTAGAAGAAGTGGGTGAAATCTATATTGTCATTCCTTTTTTCTTTTCGACAGAAAGTTAAATTACATTGCGTCAGACACTTTTTGGTCTCAATAGATTTCTGTCGTTTCTTTGTTTGGAAACTGAAGATGTTTTCTCTTTTTATGTTAATAATAATAATAAATATAAAATACCACTTATGATATTTTTTAACATATGTTAAAAAAATTAAAATAGAGACATTTCCATTTTTCATCATGCATATTGAAATGTCGTTCAGCCCTTGTCATATTGTGGTCGGTTTGAATCTCTGTTTGCAATGCCTAATGTGCCTTTGACTTATTTTATTAATTTGTGTTGTCTTTTAGAAATAAGTGTTTACACTACTAAATTACAGTAAATGCATCTGCAATAAATAGCCAAAACTAAATAAATAAATAAATCCTATAAATTAAAATGATGGGAAGCAACCATTTTATTTTGTTGCTATTACAAAGCAAATGTTCGCAGAATTCAGTATCATAAAATAATTTTCACATCATAGCACTTTTAAAAAAATGTATTTCTATAAATGCATAAACATTTTTTTCTTAAAAAAGTTTTCTCAAATTTGTCTGAAGTCTCACAAAACATATATAGTTCATACCTTTTTCCCCACAATCGTGATCTTTTAATAATTTGTGATTGTCATCTTAATAGTGGTTAGATAGAAGATCCCACCGTGTAGAAAGTAACTTGCATGCAAACCCAGATCAGACCAATGCTTTTTTTCTCTTCTGACTTTTCCGATTTTATTTTTTTTACTATATACTTATTTATTTGTTTTAAAATTATTCTTCCTTGCAGCCTTTTGTTAAGCAGTGCTGACCGTCGATGTAACTGGCTTGGCACTCTGAACGCACATGTTCAAGGTTATGCCTACTGTTTTGCAGAGCCGTAACAATCACACTGCACAGTTTCTTTCGTTACAAAATATGAAGACTTGTTACACCAAAATATGATTGTTTTATTTATAATACAGATATCTGCATAATTACACGCAGGGAGCCTCATCCTGCCTGCGTGGACATAGGCGCATGCTCTTATCAGAGGTGACCGCCATGTTGTCTAACTGTCCTCCATTTTGTGATTTCAGACCTTTACTGTACTGTTGCACAGCTGCCCCACCCTTACAAAATTATGCAGTCGTATCCCGATGGATCCGAAACGCTGACGCTAATCCTTACTGATTTCATCTGGAATTATTGAGCTCTTATTGGACACAAAATCATTTTTACCTTGTGTGATATTGTTGCTTCAGTGTTGCTTCAAATGATGGTACTATTACTGCTCTATACAAAGCTGTTTTGAAACATCATTTTCTTTTTTTCTGTAGAATTGCAGATTCTTTAAAATGCTTTAGTTTTCAGTGGTAGGGCAGGGATGGGAAATTCTTAAACAATACCATACCAGTAGCTTGGGCTTATGATTAATAAATGTCATCTACTCTACTACTGAGAGAAAAACAGTTGTCCTCATATTAACTGACAGGACAAGGACATCAGGAAACATAAATGCAGTTCACATGGTAAATTTTCTCAGCAAGAACAAGGTGTGTGTGTGTGTGTGTGTGTGTGTGTGTGTGTGTATATGTGTAATCAAGGCATCTTCCAAGTTTGTGGTAAAATTGAATCACACCCACAGAATCAGTTAAAACATGTAGTGAATTTTCTGTTTTTGTAATGTTATCCATCATAACTCTCATTTAAAAGTAGCAGGATTTATTATTATTATTATTATTATTAGTGTGTTATAGTTTGAAAGACACTTTCATTTCGGACAGTAACAGTGAAGAGTCAAGGTAGTCATCTTTTTTTATTTAATTCTCATTTATTTTATTTTTGTTAAATAATATTCAAATATTAAATAGTTTAAAATATAATAATTTTTAAGTTGTGTATTTGCTGCTTTTAATGCTTTAATTATAAAAAACAACTAGTACAATTCTTTATAGACTATTCCAATCTTATGTGGAATTTTGTCTTTAAATGAATAAATCTTTTAAATTAATACATTATTATTATTATTGTCAGTTAGTGTCAATCAGTTACCAGAGCTCCGCTCATGTTTCTGTCAGTGCCGCGGCGAGCCGTAAGGGTCATTAAGCGTCTTCTGACGGCAGGCAGAGGTCAAGGGAGTTAATCGGAGTTGATGGAGGGGCCCTCTGAGTGACAGTCCTAAGGAGCTCACCTCTTAATCTCTGTTTGTCTATGTTTTAGTACTCTTTACCTATACAAAGCAAACAACACCCTCCCTCTCAATGGGGACCAGCCTGCTCCCAGTCTAGCACTTCTGACCTGTGGGTCGTGCCCTTTGTTCCTGTCTCTACAGAGGCTGACCTCAGATTTCACCTCTGTAATTGAGGAGTCCTGTAGACACGTGCCCACGGGGGCCCAGGAGAGACCACCACCGCTGCAAGCTCACTGCTACCTCTGCGCCGGAGGAAAAGGGTGTCTGAAAATGACGTTTCCTATGAGTCCCAAGCAAAAATAAATGTTTGGCCCGATCAGATCTTGCTATGGTTTTCTGATCATTTCCCAGCTGTGTTGTTTTCTGTCATGTTGTGTAAAATGTGGCTTAATTGGCTTAAATATCTTCTACACATACACTGTGCCTTCACAAATCCACTAGGTCATGTGTATGTGGGCTTGTTTTATTGAACATTAATTTTTCTCTATATATATGTAAACTCTAGATCTTTTGCGAAAGATTTAGACACTGATGGACATTTCAGATCTTAAACATGTTGCTTTTTCTGTGGAACTCCAACTCTCATTTGATGAACTAGGCCACCAACTAGGATTGAAATGCTTCTCACTTCTTTAATCTGTGCCTTGTTGTGTTTTAATTAATTTTTTGCTTCATGGGAGTGTTATGGTTATATTGAGACACTGTTGTTTTTGTCTGTTTGTTTGGTTTTTTCTCTTCACGGATGAAAAGTTGCAGGTTAAAGAAGCTCATGTTATTAGTTTTTACTCATTGCCCTCTCCACAAAAGCATAATTATGGGTTGAAAATTGCAGCTCAGTGATGTGCATGTGCAACACATGGCTGCAAATTCCTTAGGATGCTTTTTTAAGTTGTTCTAGTTGATTATGCTGGAAACCCTGATGTTAATTTGGGAGGAAAAGAAAATATACTCTAAAGGTCCTACAGACAGTTATTAGGATCTGAGATCCTGCGAATGGCTTGTTAATGTTCGTTTAATTAATTATTTTAGTTTGTGCTTTTGACATCCTCTTCAATTGTATGTTTAGATCTGATTGGATTAATGTGCATTTTAGTATTTAGTAAGGCATTTTTTGACACGAATTAATGTTAGGAGACCATTTTGTTCTCTTTGCTTCAGTTTTGATATTCGACCGATGTAATGTCAACAAAAGACAGGCTAACGTTTTTTGTTATATATCTATAAATCACGTTGGATGCACTTATTAAATGTGGAAAAAGTGACCAACCTGCTGTGCTTTTTAACCTCGTGAAGACTCACTATAGCCGTTATCGCTCTTTGGTAACTTTAACCCCAGAACACATACACGCTTTTTAAATCACACGAGAGTCTTTTTAAAATGATCTCAGCGATGGTGCATTAAAGTGCTCTGAGGTTGAGCCCTGAAAAGTACCATAAAGAGTTTGTTTTGATTGGCGTTTGATCATAGTCTCTGAGCCTTGTGAAGGTTGTGAAGGATGGGGCCTTACAGAACAGCTCACTGTTTGGGAGTTGGCAGCCGACCCAAAACCAAAATTGTATCCTCAAATGAACTTTAATGCAATGTACAACACAACACGTGCGCCAAGTCCCGACTCCCTGCTCGCAGGTCCTATAGTAAACAAGCAAGAAAATGAACGCCTGAGAATCAGCAGCAGAGAATGAGAAATAAAACAGATAATGTTTTATAAGAAAATGAGAAGCACAATTTTTCTTGTGTGAGGTGCGCCACCTTCGTGATTGGCCGACAGACGTGGCGCAATGTGACGTAGGCGCGTCATACCTTGTGCCAGAGCGTGACCTGTTGCCATTAGGGAATCAGACTCAAAAAAAAAGGGGGTGAGCACTTGGAATTTGATTTAGCTGTAACGGTTTTATACGGGTGCGACTCGGCCCAGATTTGGTGTTGAATCGAGGGTGGGGTGTGTGGTATGTAGAAACTAAGTATGTGTGTGTGAGAGTGTGTATGTGTGTGTGTGTGTGTGTAATGAGAGGTCAGTTCCATGAGGGAGCCAGAAAGAGGAGGCCGAGAACGAGGCAAGGAAATCTGGGCGGACCGGGTGCTTTCGGTCCCTCCTCCACATCAATGTGTGTGTGTGTGGATCTGCGTGTGACAGCCTGATGAGCAGCAGCACCCTCTATACAGCCATGTTCTCTGGTCGACGAGCATGCTTTTATCAACTCTTTAGTTCGCTAAACGCAGAATAGGTTCGTAATACAGTTCGAGGAACAGAAGCAGGCGCAGGCTCCACACTGGCATGTTTTGGTATGTGTTTTTGCATTCTCGTTGGGCTTGTTCGCAGTAGACAGATCAACTGTTTGAACTTGTATTTAATCGCCGCATTGATTAATAACAAAAAAAGTTTTGCACTCGACGGTACTGGCATGTTTACAAGAGTGTGCAATAGCCGTAAAAATGGCATAAAATGGATTGTTGGTAAAATACAGCACAGAATAATGAAATCTTGAATAATTTTTTTGCATCGGACTGCCTCACAAGTTATTGAATTCTGGTTCAAAAGGGAGGCGTAACATAGGTGCACCCACGAAAGATCGAAAAACATGATTGGCGGCATGCTCCACTAATTATTCCTGCACCAGGCGGATTCTCAGGTAGGCCGTGGTTGCAGAGTGTGTGTACATGAGCGTGTGTGTGCGGTCACTGCAGATGAAATCTCCCTGCAAATTGCGACAGATGTTTCACCTCCAGACCGTCTCACCCATGCGCCTGACACGTCTTGGGACAGTGGGATGTACAAAGACACCCCAACATTTGCACGCTCCACTTTTCCCAGAACCCTCCATCATGATATGGTCATCTTTGAACTGCTGACTCTTTTAACCTTTTCTCGTTTGTGATTGCTTGTATAGCTATTCAGTACTTTCGAGCCAGAGGACAGCTTCAAGGATCGAGTTTGGTCTTGGCGGCGGAGCGCCTGCGCATTTGGTAAATTGTGTTTGAATGGTTCGTAACGGGTGTGAGCGTATGTTTGTGTGCACTCTCCGGGTGAACCGGAGTCTGTGTCATGCTTCCCTCCTCTCTTCAGCTCTCCCTCCCTCCCTCGCTCACTGGCTGGAACGGTGGATTAAAAAAAAAAAAAGATTGCTCACGTACTCCACTGCCTCTCGGTTTCATCATCAACTTTTTTCCCTCCACTTCAGTTTTCCCTCTCTCCTCTCCTCTAATTCCCTCCCTTTCTCTCTCTCTCTCTTTCTCTCTCTCTCTCTCTCTGTGCAGATAGAAATGAAAAAAAGCCTCTACCGCTGTTTCCACAGTTCAGTCTCCTCCCCTTCACCCAGTCTGTGCCAAGAGAAGGAGGGATTTCTACTACTCACAGGATTTTAACCCTGTAGCACAACCGATTGGCTCAAGCTGCTTCTCTGCCACTTCAGTTTTTCCAGCGCGTCTTTTCCACCACTTCCCTAAACCTCGTCGGCGTGTTCTTCTGCATTTTCATCACCTCGAGACGCTTTCAGTCCAGAGCATTTACGGCAGCCGGAGGTGTGTGGCATTTCTCATCCTCACCAGGGGTTAACGGATCCTTTCCGTTGCTGAGCTTTGAAAATGGCTGTATTCTCCCTGCTTGTTGCTTGTCTCGGAGAAGGGAGGCGCCTGGAGTTCTATCACTTTAGCGCCACCCTTTCTCTCTCTCTCTCTTTTGCCCTCCCTCTCTCATACACACACATACAGTTCTTCTTTCTCTCTCTCTCGCTCTTTCCCTGTCTCTGAAAGGAGAGCGGGAGGGCGGTGCGGTGTCGGAGCTTTTTCTGGGACAGGTGCCAATTCCAAACAAAAGACATAAAAAGGCAATGAGTGAAAGCTGCCTCGATCGTAAGAAAGAAATATGTTGCACGATGAAACGCAAGAAGTTTGTGGCGACCGTGTGCATGTGCGGTTGTGCGCGTTCGACTGAATAGAAATGTTTGAAGCTAAGATTTGAAATACTTTTCTTCTCTATCTCTCTCACAACACTCTCTCACTCCTCTGGTGCTCTTGAGCCACTGAAGGCTTTTCAGTCATGGGGGGGGAGGAGGGGAGGAGGCTTGGTTTTCAAGCTCCTGAATTATTCATACGCCTGGGCCAACGCTGCGATCGGACTGGCTGGGACATTAACATGCAGTGGACATTCTATTTGTCTGTTTGCTAACATTCCTCATTCAAAGACTTGTTAACTGCAAGACGGGCCGACACACGCGTCTCTCGGGTTGCTATTGTGGCCAAAACCCGGTCGTCCTAGACCAGGGGACCGCAGGCTGACTTGTAGCCCGGCGCTGGGGACATGCAGCTGGGGTGGGAGGATTGGCTTGGCCCCCTGGCCTACCTCCTTCAGTCCTTGTGCCTGCTGTGGAAAGCTCACTGCTTCTTCTTCTCCTTCTCCTTCTCTCTCTGTCTCTCTCACTCTCACTCTCCTTCAACACAGGGCTGGTGAAGTGAGTAGAAAAGGCCTTCAGCACTTGTCCTGGAATGTTTCTATCTACAGGCACATGTCAGTGTTATCGGGGTAAGTTGCAAATATTTGAGTTTTGTGTGGTATTTGTACATATTTAGTTTATTTTTCGTTTCTCTGATGTATTTCTTGATTTTTGTGTCTTTAAAATGTGTGTGAAATATTCCTGTTATGGTTTTATGGTTTATACGAAAAAAATTGTTTTATAAACGGTACGATTCCTGAAGAAAATGGCGTAGGGGGTATGTAAAGGCAGTTCATATCAGCCCCCAACAAATAAGTCGACAAGTAAGTCGACCTTCCACAGTGCATAGTTTTGGGGTTAATGTTTTTGTTGAGTGAGAAGAGGTATTCTTTTTGGGAGTGAGAGTTTTAAATCGTGTTATCGGAAAAAGGTTTTTACGAATTAACCTTTCATTTTCTGATGCTTGTGTTGATGTGTGTGTTTATTGGAACACTTCAACGTAGTGAATGGAGATCAGCTATTTGGGCCTTGTGTTTGATTATCATGTTGTATTGTCGTTTATCTTGTGAACTGTTCATTGCGATTAATATTTTTAAAATATTTTTTCATAATATTGAATTGTAACATGGATACTTATGGATAGAAGCATAATATATGCCACATCAGAGGTTAGTTTGCGCAGTTATGCCTTAAAACTCGAATATACGTGACGGTACTTTGTGTTAATTATGTAAATGTTTCAATTGAGTTGTTCTTTGATATTTTTTTTTTTCTGTAGCTTTTTTTTTGGTTGCTTAATTTCAATAGTTTCGATGTAAATGTAAAATTCTACGCAAATTCATGTCATTTTGACTAAAATATATCATTGTTTAAATGTACACATATTTAAATATATCGAACATGTCCATATTTCATTTGAAATCAGCAAAGAACAATTTCTGCAATTTATACAAATTTGAACCTATGAATATACATATTAGTTGTATTTATAAAGAAGGCATTTGCTCAATCTGAACAATTTATGTATTATTTTAAGGCTTTTATTTAAGGAATACATATTACGTAAAGATGTCTTTTGAAATTTTAATTTTAGAAAATAAATTACCACCCCACTGTTCTTTTTTCTGTCTCTCACACACACACACACACACACACACACTGCCTCTCTCTCACACACACGTAAAAAACCCTCTTATGGCCCTCTTAAAAGTAAATCATTTATAGGTAAAATCGTATTTACCGAATCAGAATTTACCAGCTGACCCCTTTGTGATATTTAAGAATCATTTACATAAAGATATTTTAGATATTTTATACTGTAGAATTTACAGGCATAAAAGTAAACAATTGTGTTTCTTCGTTCAAACAAATGATTTTGGCTCGTAGCAGGCTGTTTAGTAGTATGAGTGAGAACACCAGGGGCAGTGCTGATGAAGTGTGTTGGCACAGAAAATGCACGTTGGTTGGCAGTGCCCTCCCCCACCCCTTTTTTGGTGGTGAATGGAGTGTTCCAGAGATGATGTATAGTGTAAAGAACAGAGCAGGTGGCATCATCTAAAGAACGAAGAGGGGGTTTGGCATAGGAACGGAGATTTTCAGGATAAACTTACCCCTTTTGCTCATTTGTACCAAAGAATTTTTTTCTTTCTTTTTTTTTTTTTTTTTTTT